TGTTTCCGGTTGCACTGGTAATCGTAATTTCGAAAAGACCGAAAATCTTAATAGACTGACAGCGCTTCCAGTATCAATCAAACATTCGATCGGTTCACTGTCGTTAATTGTTCCTTTCTTCAAATACTTTGAAACGTCAGATAATCCATCATGATTCATCGCAACACTATTTTGATCTTTCATTTTGTCATTCTTTATTTCTTCGCGACTCTCTGTCTGACGCGGGAGCCATTTGGCGTCACAAATCAAGCTAGAATGTTTACGCTTACATGTCGTGCAGCGCGCTTTTGATTTACATAAGCGGACCACGTGAAATTTCTGGAAACATAGAAAACATCTCGCGTTCCGTTTTAAACTTTCTAATTTCTGTTCGCGTTCCTTATCACAATTTTCGGAACTGTGCTCAGAATTATTGCAAAAAATGCAAATTTTCTGAAAGGTGCTCAGTGCGGTTGCGTTAGGAATTGAATCTTGCTGCTTCCCTTTAAACTTCTGAAATCTATTCCCCTTTTCCGAAAATTTAGTAACTGACAGTTTATAGTCTACGCTTTTAAGTGATTCATTATTTTCCCTTGTTTGTCGAAACAAAAATGTTCGTTCTCGCGTTTCTATTTCTCTTCTAAGAAATTTTAATAATTCTGTTACATTCCAAGAATCGTCTTTTTCATGCTGTCTATAAAAATCTAGCACAATGGAATCTGGAATAAGTTTGGTTAGTAGTGGAAACAACAAACTTCCATATGAATTCAGTTCGACACCAAGAGTTTGTAAACCCCGTACTTGGATTTCTATCGTATCGTATAACTCCCTTAACTGTTTCAAATACGAAGCTGATTTTACTGCATTTAAATTTAACAAATGGTTAATATGAGATCTTACAATAATTTCTTTTTTCCCGTATCTTTCTTTAAGCAATTCAACTGCTAAATCATAATTATTTTCCGATACCAATAGTCCTTGAATACTAATTAAGGCTGGTCCTTTCTCAAGAAAGCTTTAAGATAATTATATTTATCTACTTTAGATAAGCGATCGTTACTATGAATCGCATTATCAAACTGTGACCAAAATTCCTGAAACTTCTCTAAATTATCCTCAAACGGTTCTACATGAAGTTTCGGCAATTTTATTCTTGGTTTGTCTGGTTCTTTATTCGAAATAAGTGAAGAATTATTCTTCAACGAAAAATCTCCCTTATTTCTATCTGAATTCTGAAGATAATTCTTAACTTTCGATTTCGCGTAGATGATACGTTCTCTGTATTCCTGATTATTCTCGACTTCTGTTTCCAGATCAGATACTTCAGGAATTAAATTCTCAATTTCTAGATCTAACTTAAATATCTGATCTGCTTTTTCTTGTAGATTCATATCACATTCTTCTAATGATTTTGTATCTACAATATCCTGTTCTAATAATTCACATATTCTGTTAATTACTTGTGTTGTTAACCTTCTTAAAGTTTTACATTTCGTTTTTGCTTTATCTAAAGCTTTTTTTGTATTCTCATCCATAATATTACCCAATAATATAATTCTATACTTCTAAATTCTGTTAGAATTATTGTACAGTTCGCATGCATTCAAATCTTTAAAAACGAAACTTACCCCTTCTTCGACGTTCTTGGTACGCGAGTCATTCAACGCCTGCTTGCATCAATCTATCCCGCTTCTGAAATGTTAGCTTTAATCTCCGTTATCAATCTCAGGACGGCTAGGGGTAAGTCGAGCTTTCACTTTTCATTCAATCGGGATAACTCTTGCATTTTATAAATGCTTTATTACTACAATAAATATATACATATATACATATCATTACGGAACATTCTTAACATCAATCCTATTCTCTCGCTTCCCGATTCTCGATTGATATCGTGCGCCCTCTATCGGCGGCTTTTCTACAATGCCATCTATCGGCTGATAACACAATATAGCATAAAGACAAATTGATTAAATTTGTAAGCATTTTGGAGGTTTACAGGGGTGCGAAATTAGTAGAAACAGCTGCCAACCCTGGCAGCTTAAACGGCCCTTACTTAAACGGCCATTGAGCATGGAGTCAAACTGCGCTTGAATGACAGGGAAATGGCAACTCATTTCAAGCTGCTTCCAGTCTATGCCACACTTCTTCAACCAAGAGAGGTGGACTGCTAGTCTCTCAGCAACCCATGACCAGATGTTTTCAATTGGTGACAGATCTGGAGACCATGCAGGCCAGGGCAGCAATCGAATACCCTGTGTATCGAGGAAAGTCAGAACATGACGTGCAACATATGGTCTTGCATTATCTTGTTGGAACATGGCGTTTGGGGGCCTGAAAGATAGGGCACAACCACTGGACGTAAGATGTCATAAATATACCCAACTGCGTTCAAATTACCATCAATCCTAATTAGACATGTGCCTTTCGTATACCCAATGGCTACCCAAACCATCACACCAGGTGCAGGGTCCCCTATGGCGATATCGAATGCAAGTAGGTGACGTAAGGTCTCCTCGGTCACTCCAGACACATTTACGGCCATCAGAATACTGCGCTTAGAACCAGGAATCGTTTGAAAAGGCGACATTGTGGTATTCTTGTACCCAGATTTGTTGTTTGGCAAACCAGACTGGCCTTCTCTGTCTATGCTGCATTGTCAAGGGAAGACGAAATAATGGTCACCCTGCTGATAGTTCACGCTGCTGCAAACATTGACGCACCTTACGAGCTGATATTGGGCGTGCTGCAAACATGCTCATTTCTTGTCTAATGGTCTGTGTTGTGGTCATACGGTTTTGCAGGGCTGACCTCACAATATGTCTGTCCTCTCTAACGTTAGTCAAAAGAGGGCGTTGAGATCCTGCATGCCGTTCAGTATGACCCTCAACAATCCACTGATTCCATATTGGCATGACAGTGGTTCGGTGTCGACCAGTGCGACCGGCGATATCATGGAATCTACACATTCGATAGGCAGCGATCCTATCTCTATCGAATTTCGAAACTTGTTGGTAAGCAATTCCTCTGCTTATTCGAGGCATAAGACAATATTCTGAGCAAACTCCAATCGTACAAGACACTTTCCAAATGAAAAATTCACTGCAAGCCTTTCTTTTAGGCAGTGCTTCAGATGTGGTTTCTCCTTCGTGCGTCGTCTAAATGCGCTGAAATATTAATCATTTGCATATCTCAACTTCTTCCTTTTATGTGATTTTGACGTTCGTTAGACCAATCTTTCCTAGTTGCCATGTTAATGGCCAGCAGTGTATTTTGGCTTTTCCACAGAATTTACTTTCGTGAGCTTCTACAAAATGATAATTAGTTTGAAGTATGAATAAGCTTCTAGATTCGAAGTTATTAAATAACGTTAGATAGCTTATGCTGACCATCGCTCTAATCTAGATTTTTTGTTGTTGTAAATAGGCTTCGGGGAAAAGGCAGGTTTAGCCTCAGCTTTACTAATTTCATATTGTACATTTAATTTAACTTAAATCTATATTAAAAGTTGCTTGTCTGCCAGCAAGTTAGCAGAGTTTTTTTTCATGTAATTTTTTTTTTTTTCATTTTCTATAGCCATCTGGTTGACCTGCTAATACGCAGTTATATTTTGCGTTTTAACTTTTTTGTGATAATCTTAGCTAGGAGATCAGAAGAAACGGAAAGCTGCCGACAATCTGATAGAGTTATTAACTGAGTTAGTTGAGACTTTTAATAATATAAGCGTATAGCATTTTGAATAATCAAAGTCTGAGGAATTTCAACATTGCAATGCTTCTGAAAAATCCAGGATTTCCTAATCAAAATGTGTTAAGAAATTTGTATTCATAAAAGCTAAATAAGCTGTTTAATTTCATAAATACAAATTAAATTACTGAACAGCAAAAACTGAAATGATTACTAAATATCTTGCCATTTTCTGTTTAAAAAGTAAAAACAAGTTTGTAAATACATAGCCTGAAGTTCAATGTAATATAAAAAAACAAAGTTGGAAATACATAGCCTGAAATACAGTGATATACACAGTAAGATAAGTAACGTGTAATACTGATTAAAACATTTTAATCTATTTATTTAATCTATATTATTTTAATCTACTTTATTTATTAAAGATTTTAATCTATTTCTGCATTTCAAATAGCCATTTATCACACCATTTTAGTACGTACAGAAGCATTCCATACGATTACTTTGGTGAAGAGTTAATAGATTGGTAATTTGCGAGGAAGAAATATCTACGTATACATTTATTTTTCCAGAGAAGAAAGAAATATATTGACAGAGAAAATTAGCCAAGTATTTGCAGTTAATTCATAACAGCTAATATTAAAGCTGTGTTCACACTGGTCCGTTGGGGCAAAAAGCGTCAACGCGGGAAAAAAACGTTTTCCACATACGTCAGTTCACACCAGCATGGCAAATTTCTCTTTAAAAGTTGCCATATGCTCGCACTAGATGGCGTTTCATATCGGAAACTTTGGGGAAAAACGGGAAATTTTTGTGTGGTATTTTGACTTTTTACGATTATATCTTTTTAATTAAAATGGATTTAATTTCTGCTCGATTAAAACTTATTTTACTTCTTGTTTTGTGTAAGAGAAGCAGAATGCAGTGGTTTGTATTAATATGTGAGAGATGACTGCAGCAAGGAGATGCAAATAATTTAATTGAAGAAATGCGCTTGAACGAAATGAAATTTCTTTTAATTAGTTTCGCATGACACCTCATTAATTCGATGAATTTCGAGCGCTCGTTGAACTATTTAGTCAAAAGCAGAACACTAATTTTTGTCAGAATATCCCAGAAATAATCGTTTGGACGATAGGAATAGGATTTCCCAGAAAAGGATCGTTATCGCAAACTCTGTATATATCTAATTTAATTCATTTATGAATTTTGTTGAATGATAATTAAAAAATCCTAATTGAATGATTCTATTTTGGAGAATTAAATTTTTCATGGAGCAGAATACCATAAATGTTTTGCTTTGTTTAGTTTACTGTACTTCGATTTATTTACAGGTTGACGATAAGCAATAGTTCACTGGGTGAAAGAAGTTTTCAAGCTTGCTTAGATGATTCCCGCGTAACTTCCTTTTTGGATTGTCTAGTACTCCTGAAGCACTTGAAAATAACGCGTGCGAACCTGCCTATTATCAGACACAATTTTTTCTCTAAGATGCCTGACCTAAGAGAACTGATACTGCAATTCAATCAAATAACTAGAATCGAAAGACAAGTTTTTACTGCTGCGACATTTCCTAGCCTCGAAGTACTCGATTTATCTCATAACGGTTTACTAGACGTGAAGAATCTATTCACACACTCAGAGATGAAAATTGCATTCCTTGACTTAAGGTGAGTAAAACTTTTCAAGTTACTTGATAAGGAAGAATACGTAAGTAGACAGGTGTTATGGAAAATTGTTAGGTATTATTTGTTGTGTATAATTATTATGTATTATTTTACGGTGCATAAGGTATTCTTAAATATATTATTTTACTATGAACAATGAATTTATATTGTTATTATTTAAGAATTTATGTATAATATTTAGTATTGTTTAAACTTTAACTCAATTACGGCAAAGCTCGTTTAAGTTTAGCTGAAGAGTGTGATTCAAAAAAAAAAAAAAAAAAAACCGAGGCTTGTTACTTCCGTTTCTCACGAAGCGGTCAGTTGCGCCCAGCTGCATTTTCCACTTTTCGCGGGGGTTGAAAACACGTGTTTTGCTCGTTCAGAGGCGAATAGTTCTAAGGGGCCGCGATTATTTGACAGAGTTATAGGTTGGAAACATTCCTCTTTGCGTGGAAAGGAAGTGTCTGTCATCTTGCTGAGAGTTCTGAATTTTCTTGGAAATTTCGTAATGGTTTACACCTGGTTGTAGTTGGCTAGAGGGGATCCAAGTTTCTTTAAGATTGGTTAAATGTTAAATTTTAGTGTGGTTTGCGCCAATAGTGAATTAGAAGCGTTTCTTTGGGAGTGTCAACCGAGTTTTCTTATGCCGTTGCACGAGAGGCAGGAGAGGATTTTTAGCACTTTTTAGCAGACTTTTATCAGAGCCTTAGCGGGTTTGCTTCCTGCTGTACCGATCAGTGGGCGATACCGGAGTTTTATGCGAGTTCTGACCAACTCTTCTGAGTGGGAGCGGAGGAACGCGGCGACCCTTCGGGGTTCGACCGTGGGTTGCAGTTAAGAGATATTCCCGCGTCCCCTTGGTTGTTGCTGCGGAGGCCTGTCCGAGCCCATGCGGACTCTCATTGTGATAGACGGCGGCGAAGTGTTTTTCCTGTCCTGCGGCACAAATGGTATTGGTTTCATCATGGTGTTTTTTTTTAGTAGAAAGAGACAGATTTTCTGATGGAAGTAAGGGCGCGTCTTCTTTTCCCGTTAATCCTGAATTGCTCGTGCCGAAGATACAGATTTTGTGATGATAATATTGAATAAAGTGAGTGGCTTGCTTTTCAAGTATTTTTTCGAAGGCTTCACGCTGAAGATGCAGATTATTCCAGAGATTATTGACTGTCGTCCTCTCCTCTTGTCTGTTTTTATCCACAGCGTCAGCACGAACATTTCACAGGATGATTTTAGAGTTAAAATGCTATCGGACAGAGTAGTGCTGGAACTATTTGAACTATTTTGAACTGGAGAAAATTTCCCGTTGAACTGACTTCAGTATCGGTTTTCCTGACAACGACGAAGTTTAATTTTGGCAGTAATTGTTTCGACATTTTATGACTGGATCGCTGCTCCTCGAGTCGCTCAGACTTGTATTACGCTGAACTCGTGAGTGTACATTTTTATTTTAATTTTTGCTTTTCTTTTATAAGTAATCGCTAGGATTTTGGAAGAATTAAATTCTAACGCCTTAGCTGACCTTTTATATACATTAAAATTAGGATTCTACTACTAATCAATTAATAAATAGTTAAGAAAGTGCTATGAATAATAAATAGTTGAGAAAGTGTTATGAATAATAAATAGTTGAGAAAGTGTTATGAATAATAAATAGTTGAGAAAGTGTTAGCTATGTTTTTTAAATGTTTAATTCTTGAGTTCATGTTTTAAAAAGATTAATAGTGAGGAGTTTCACTATGATTTTGTATGACGTGAATTATTTAGAAAAATGAGATTGAAATAATGTGTAAATTTTAAGATTATGTTTTGTAGGGGTAGTCTAGCCAGCTATTTTAAATTATAATGTGTGGGAATATTCAATAAATGTGTTTATTATTTTTATTATTGTATGTTTCTTTGAGTTAATTGTGGTCCACTGTAAATCACCCCATGTGATCCTTACGGAACATGGTTATTCTATGGAACCTGGGTAACCATATTGCGGTAGTAGAAAAAAATCAGTTTTAAGTGTTGATGACTATACGATCGGCTTAATTAATTTATTTTGATTTTTGTGAGTAGACTTCTTAAGTGTGAGATTTATCCTTCTCTGGTGTTTTGAAGAGTTCTGTGTTGCACTTTAAATATTGGGTTTATGGCTATCTCTAGATTTTGTATTGAAATTTATGCGTTTTCAAGTTGGAGATCTGAATTAGTTTTATTTTAGCGAGAGATAGCGTGTTAATGATTTTGTTGCAAAGTGCATTTTTTCGGGGCATTTTGGTTTTGATAAAATATTCGTTGAGTCTACGAAAACACTAGGGAGGATATTTATTTTTTTCCCTTGATTTAATGAGTTAAGAATTAGTTTATCCTTTATGAGAGAGTACTTAATTGAGTTTATTCGTTTTTATGTCGCGGCACCAAAAAGTAGTAGTCAGTTTAACAGTTAAATGTAAAAGGTAAATAATTTTCTTTTTTTTCTACGTAACACAGGCAAACGTAAAAGAATGAAGTGGGGTTCTCTATATTCAGAGTTAAATTGTTTGCTCAAATTACTGAATAATTACGTAATACTTGAATCCTGCCACTGCTTTCCAGAACTAGCCTAAAGATTTCATATTTAAAAAATTTCATTGCTGGACATTTTACGATAGACTGCATTTCGGTGCTAGTGACTTAATTTGTGAACTAGAGAAACTTTCTCATAAACTGAAGTTTTATTTGTAGTTATATAGAAATTCATATTTTTCACTCAATGTTTTGTAATTTTGTGTATAACCTCTGAATTTTCAGGTCTGAAACTATAAATACCTTGATCTATTTTTGTCGTACAGAAGTCAGACGTTTTGTACCTTATCTTTTAAGAATGAATAAACCTTTTATTAAATATAACTATAGGAATCGGGAGACTAAATATGATATTAGATTTAGCAAAAATTATAAAATTGAATTTTTAAATTTTAGAATGCTAAAACATGAATACTCAGTAATTTAAAACATTTTTGTAGCTGGAAGCATATGTGTTCTAAATGATGCAAAAATAAAGCTTCATAATGACTTTTAAGAACATGATGATTAGATAGGTGACACTCTGATGTAATTTACCTTACAGTTATTTTTGCATCCCATTTGTTTATTTAACTTAATTATTTATTTTTGAAGTAGTTAAACCACTCTTCGAAATTAAAATTATATTTTAAGTTGTAATACAGAAATATATTTTAAGTAATAGTCACTGCAATGTGACACACATGAAACTCAGGAATGCGCAACGGCTCTTAAGGTATGTGCCTACCCTAAATTCGTCGTTTTGGTGAAAATTTTCGAAATATTTTTGATTTATTCATTTTACAGGCCATACATTTAGGTTTCCAAAAATGCTTTATTTTTGTTCTTACGATAACTAGAAGCAAAGTTATAGTATAAAAAATAAACCGGAAGTGAATTTTTGGATGCCGGAAGTTGGCATTTAAATGGTCGTAAAAATGTAAACAATAAGTTTAAACAACTATTTTCTAATTATTAAACAATATAAAAGCTGTAAAAGCAACACATTTTTCACTGTGTGACACGTTTCTGATAAAATACCTACATGGGAAGACTCAAAACAATAATGAGAGTTTTAATAACCTTTTCAGGACTATTTTACCTAAAGAAACTTTTATCTAACTGAAAACATTGCTCTTAGGGGCACATATTTCTGTATTACTATTTAATTCAAGATATTCAGGAATTTTACCTATTTTCAAGTGTATAGAAATAGAAATTAATCCCATTATGCTTGAAAGCTACATGGGAATAGAAAAACAGTGAATTCAGAAATCGAAATGCCAATCTCTACAAGCAACAAAGTTATCCAGAAAAATGCTAAAAGAAGGTCAAAATTAGTAAAAGAGGGCCTAACATACAAATACGGCGAGTTTTAAAGGTCTAAAGTGATTACAAAAGTTTTTGTGCTGTATTAAAATCTTTAAATGCATTTTCTGAGAAATTGTGTTTTTCGTTACTTTTGATTCCGATTACGTTCATTTCTCAAAATGTATTTAGAATATTGAAATGAAATTTTGCCAAAATGTTTCTTTAGCTGTGTTCTGTAGCAAAATCGGACCTCTTTGTATTTATTTATTGATTTTGAAGAAAACAGGATTTTTTTGTTTTAATTTTGAGTTTTTGTACTAAGTTTTGAATATTTCGAAACATTTTATAATTACGACAAATCTTCTGCTACAGAACACAGGTAAGTATGTTATTTATATACTGTGCAAAGATTATTGAAGTATATTCATTAGAATCTGTTACAGGAGATCTGGCGTAAATGAAAATGTTCACTATAATTTTACCAAATAATGCGTATATTTAAAAAAATAATGAAACGTTCTATAAAACCCCATTTAAATTCATAGTTTTATATCCTATCGTACTCAAAAACATGTGTGTTTAATTAAAATTGTATGTATTTAAAAAAAAAAGTGCTTCGTATGTAGGCACATACCTTAACTGATAAATACATTATGTTTGCTAGTCCGTGGCTGCAGATGTTGCGGGTGCGTACACCGACATATTCTCTATATTCGAGGGCTTACAGGTGATTGCGAATGCCCACTTAGCACCTATTCTGTTGTTTGTTCAACCCTGAAAGTTTTGTGATGATTATCGTCGGGAAGTCCAATAACTTTACCTGCCAATGCAGAACTTGTTGATTTTGATAATAGAAATTTTGGTGGATGTTGATTCAGAAGCTTTTCAACTGAAGCCATTGTTGCGAAATTTGAAATTTGATGAAATACCTAAAATTTTTAAATGCTGATAATGTTATCCTAACTCCAACTAAAAAGGTAGTGCCATATACGTGAATTACCAAAAATTTATATTTTCAAATGGCATGACGTATAATACAATGCAGGATGGATTGCAAATTGATAATAAAATTACTTGAACCGAAACTGACTAGATTACCTAGTATTCGTTTAATTAAACTTCGTGATTTAAATCAAAGCTTCATTGTTATTACAGTTTCGTATACTTTAGAACAGTGAATCCCAACCAGTGTGCCGCAGGACAGTATGCTATTGCTAGTTCGTACGAGAGATGCCGCGAAACATTCTGGAGATAAACAGAAAAAATATTATTACGTCTAACTTAAAATATTAAAACTAAATTAGTTGCTCTTGTGTGCGATAGACGGAGACACTGATTAAAGCGTACGTTCTTGAGGGTGGGCTTAATTACTCTTGCAACCGGCAGATCTCAGTGCAGCCAATCCGTTTCGAACATCCTTGAGACTCGATTAAGCATGCTTTCCCTTTAATCAAACAAATTTCTTTAAAACTATTTCTATAGAAGTAAACGGTATTCTACTATGATATCTGCTACTTACTTATCTTCTGATAATTAAATAATATTAGCATGGCGTAGGTATGTATTTAAATAGACGTTTAAAATAAGAAATTTTTAAAAGAGTGTTGGTAGGTTCTATACCTAAGCTGATGTGAACTTCATTGTTTGGCAAGTTCCGCTTTAGAGCATTCCTTTTAAGAATAATGTTTGATATTAAGAGAAGAGTTACTTTTATCAGAATCTTTGAAGTAATATCTGCTCTCTGAAGCAGCAAAATGATTCTCAAATGCCACAGAACTTAAGGATCTGTTAACATTAACATGCGCATAATTTTATAGCATATTCTCACATATGGTGAGGGAACTTCGCTGAAATACGTGAGCTGCTTTGGTACACAAATATTAAGCAAAAACATTTATGCCTGCTGCTATTTGGAATTCCTAACGAGGATAATATGCTCAGTTTTTCTATTCAATTTATCTCAATTATTATGCTGTAAAGTTCTACCACTTCTAAAATCAAATTTCTTTGGATATGCTAAACACGAAGTATTCTGATAATGCAAGCTATTCTGAGTATTTCATCATGGTAAATGCCGCAGTCATTTTCTGTTCATCAAATTTCGGAACAATGGTTTCAATTGAAAAGCTTCTGAGTCAACATCCACTAATAATATTTGCATTATCAAAATCAACGAGTTCTGCACTGACAGGGAAAGGTATTGTATTTAATAATATATAATAATATAATATTGTATATAATAAATAGGTATTGGACTTAATAATATATAATAACGATAATCATCACGAAACTTTCAGGGCTGAACAAACAAAAGAATAGGTCCTAAGGGAGCATTTCTCAAGCACCTGTAAGCCCTCGAACATGGCGTATAAGTCGCTTCACGCATCCGCAATATTTGCAGCCACGGACTGGCAAACATAATGTATCTACAACTTAAAAAGCCGTTGCGCACTCCTGAGTTTGATGTGTGGCACATTGTATTGACTATTGCTTAAGTAGCGTTAGACAGATCACGGACACGTTCGACAGCCAATAATAGTATTGTGAAGAGATAAGTAATTTTTATCGCTAACCAACTGTCTTTTAATCTTCAAATACTAGTACAAATATTACTAGTGAAAGTAACACACAAGTAGCCAATAGAAGATAAGGTTCATGACAAGCACTTTGTATTTTAGCTGATTACCTTGTAGAACTTACAGATGTCCTTAGCAGCAATTTCTTGAAAGTAAAAGACAACATTGAGCAAAGTTCGGCAAATTGCCAATATTCCTGAAGACAATAAAATATAAAATAGCTCGAATTCGACTGCATATGTATATCAAATTTTAGAACGTGTCTGACAGGGAATTTGCAATTCACTACTGGCATTTAAACAAGTGAGCTGAAGAAACAGCTACTCAAATTTGGAATCTCGGACATATTTTCCTCGCCTACTCAAACGTCTCTTACGTTTCCGGGCTTAAACTTTACTATATGTGTAATATACATAGCACTACTACCAATAAAACTGGTGCCATCACTACCTATGCGCAATGTGCACATTAACTTTGATCATAGTCTTGCTTTCTACCACATTATTACTATATTATTTTATGATATATTAATTTTAATTTATAAGTAAATACCTAAATAGAATTACTAGATTTTCAGTGTAAAATGTGTATTTCTTGCTTGAAAATGACCAACATATGTTTTTGCTAGCTACAACCAAATAAAGAGCTTGTTTAACTTCAAGAAACTTCCGAAGCTGAAAAAACTGCTTTTAAGGAATAATGATCTGATAGAACTTAGTGCAGCAGATTGGCAGTCGGCACCGAAGATTCTGAGATATATCGACTTTAGAGGTATAATTATATTTCTCTTGACTTTTATTTTTATAATTAAATAATGCAGTTCTTTGGACCAATGTATTTAACGCTTCTCATGGAAAGACACAATAGTCACTAGAGTTAAATAACACTGAACAGGAAACTTTACTTCAAATTTCATTTTATATACTCTTATTACCGTGCTAATATTTTCCATTATTATAAAATCAGATTCGTAAATCCACACATTACCGTTCATGGCCTTTGGTCCTTAAAAGATATTATGCTGAGGTGTGGTGTATTTAATTATGGCAAAGCACACGAGGGCTATCTGCCTAAAGGGAGGGATGCCTTTCGTGGAGGACTTTCTAAGGGAAACTGGCTCGTATACACGTTACACATGGGGAAAACCACGAAAACGCCCATGCAGCCAGCCCGTTCGCGGGATTCGAACCTCAGACCGAACTACCAGTGTTCAGCGTCTTTACCGCTCGGCCGCTGGTGGGCTTATTATGCTGAGGAAAATGAACTGTAAGTAAAACAAACGTAGGAAATGGTAGAAACGTTTGCTTACGGATAAACATACATTGTTACCAACAGAAATAATTTCCATTTTCTTTTAAAATGGAAATAAAGCTGCTTTCTATATGTGATATGAAAATTATATCTCCTATAATTTTATTACAATGAAGAAAAGTGAATAAGCTTGCCAAGAAATTCGCGACACCCTTAGATAAAATAATAACTTTTCGTAATCTACATTCTATTCTCAATTTTCAACCAATAATATTGTTGTGTTCATGAACTAGTAAATTATTGCAAACGAGATTATGCATTTTAAATCGGAAAGTCGAAAACTAAATTTTTAAAATAAAATATTTGCATACTTAATAAGATATGTAGGTTAATCAGCATGAAAAATTAGCTGACGTTAATCAGCCAAATTTTGCCAAGATAATATGTTAAATTTTTCATTACGTATTATCAGTTCACTTAATAGTAATCATAGCACGTTACTTTTCTAACAAGCAACTTTTATCAAGTGCTCTGTGTAATAGACCTGTTTTTGTTTTTCGTGAATTCATTTTCCTGTTGTTGATATAAAACTGTAAATGTTCTGATTGATTCGAATGTACTGTAATTCTGTCTGTCTTTTGTCTAGCCAGGTAAACAACTGTGTGTGAATGTTGAATGGTTATCTATAATCTTTTAAAAAAGTGTGGAACAATATTTCGAAAATGTAAATACTGTATTTTTACAAGTTCTTTCGTTTAACTATGTTAAGTATAAATGCTTTCCGCTGTGTAACAACATGACTAAAACAATTTTCTCTAAAAGGATAAATGCTCTTAATATTTGCTGCCATTAATAAAAAATATGCTCCCATCATTAACGTTTTTTGACTCTAGAAGTGTGTTTTAAACATATCTTAGTTAGTTCGATAACTAAACATATAACAAAAAACGAAATAGATTGACGCACTTAAAATATTTGTATTGATAATATTTGGAAACCAGAACCCTGTTATAAGAAATAAGAACAACATATTTAATTTAACGCTGTCTAATATACAACCTTGGTGCATATATATATATATACATAGGTTTATGCAAAAACTCTATTTGGCATCTTTTATCCCATAAAAGAAAAGGGATAATGTAAAGTTAGAACACTGATTTCTTGCTAGACTGTGGAATGAAACATGTAACATGATTTAAATGAGCAAAAACTAATTTCATCATTCTTTTTTCTTTTTTAATTTTATCTATAGAAAATGATTTGAATTGTGATTGCAACTTCAAATGGGTAAATGATACATTCCACATGAATACAGAAATTATTGGTAACTGCGCAGCACCCAAAGAAGTGGCTTCAATGAAACTTCGAAAAGCTTCCCGGTTACTCAAGTTAAGATGCGACGAGGAAGGTAAAATAGCGAGAACGAACTAAAAACAAGAACAAGGCCAAGAACTAGAAACTTCAGTAAACTATTTGACATGCAGTATATATATTATAGTACACTAAAAATTAATAGAGTGCATTTTGACATATTTACGACTGGCACTGGAACGCAAAGTAAATAATTGCGCATAGAATAATACCCTAATTAGTAATTGAAAGGTTTTATTTTTCAGATTTTGCAAATTATACTACTATTTTAATAATTAATTTATATAGTATACTACTATATACTACTATTTTAAAATAACTAAAACAAAAATTAAATTGCATATTCAATATTTATATATATTTGAATTGCATATTCAATGCAATTTAAATAAAATAATTGTGTTCTTATTTTATGCTTTTTGTCTTACTAACGAAAAAAAAAATTGCACTAGAATATAATAAGACTTTTAACACTTTTTTGAGCGCCTTTACGAAAAGTGAATTTATTTAACAATAATCTTTAAACTATATGGATTACCGAAAATGATAATTACAGAAATGACTTTTTTTAAGTTACTTTGCGTTCCCTGCAGAGAACCAAATAAAATATTTGAAAGTAAAGATATGTGTCATTTTGTAACTTCAACAATGATAAATAAAGTGCTTATTTTTTTTTTTTTTTTTTTTTTTTTTTTGTTATTAGTTACATTAAATAACTATATGTGTCCTTTTATGATGAGCAAGGGATTTCGCTAACGAGTCTCACAGATTGCTTACACATACATGCAAACTCATTTGAATGGAATGAAACGGATCTTAACTAAAAGGACAAGTCAGATTCTCTCAACGTTTCACTCTTTGCAGCATAAAATAAGCGTTACACTTGTGTAGCGACAGCGGGAAACAATGATATTTTCATAGAAATTCAGGGAAAATTGCGCGCGTGATTTAATTGTACAAATCATTCTGATTGCATTTCAAACTTATTGATTTAAAATATAGTATATAATCCAGAGATAATAGTCCTTATAGCTTAGTCAGACTTAAAATTCACACACATTATTTGCAGTAATATGAAAGAATATTTCGGCGTAATAGGGGTGAACGTATGGTCAATAAATTTAAAAACTGGAAAAAGTTTAAGGCGAAATAAATTAATAGCTAAGTAAGACAGTGAATGCAAGCATAAATATAATGGCCGAAGTACAAATCAATTTGCTATTCCAATCAAATCGTTTTAGAACAGTATTAAAGACATACAAATAAATGCATTGTTTTCCAATGGAAAAAATGTAAGATAGATATTTTTTTCTGAAAAAGTACATAAACTGAATTTTTCCTGGAACTTTAAGACCAAAGCTGTTGAGTTTCTTTGCTTAATTAAGAGTTCGCTCCTGTAATTCATAGTTATGCTGAAGAATAAGTATTTTTTGTTTGTCTCAGAATGTGGCAGAATTCTTGGAGTGATGATTTGTGAAAAACGTGGTTACAGTTACTGTAAGATCTACAGGTAGGTCAAAAACTGCAGCAAATAATTTTGTTTTCACAAATATACACCACACTATGAAAAATAAAAAGGGTAATTTATTTTCAAGTTGTTAAAGCTCAACTGCACGTCGATGGAAATATATTAAAAGCGTTATCTTCTAAAGAAGTTACAGTGCCTTAAGCTCAAATAAAAATTAAAATTCGCGTTAATCTGATGGGAAAGCCTTAATGTACACTGGTGAAATAAATTAAGACAATTTGCATATTATATCGAATTGCATGAAAATAACTGAACTGAAGGAAAACCCACCGCTTCTAGATACAAATGCAAAGTTTGTACGGCAAATACGTAAGCGTACACATGTGTGTAGGCGAAGCCAGCAGAAAAAACAGGCTTTATAAGCGCGTGGAGGGTAAGACGAATTGCGTTCGCTAGCACACCTAGGCGAATTTCTTGGTGTTATCTTGCAGCAATCGGTTAAATTCACATCGAAACAGTAAGAATGATTAACCACCAACGTTTAGATGAAGGAATGAGGTGGCGATTTGTGGGAAGGCTAGAGGCAGGCCAATTGCAAGTCCAGATATGCAGAGATGATAATTTAACGCCCAGCGTCGTGTGTAACCTTTGGAAACAGTTCCAGGATACTGGATCCATCGAGAGAAAGCCTGGGCAAGGTCGTTCAAGAACCCCGAAAGCCAGACAAGATCACTATTTGTCCATTATAGAGAGGCGTAACAGAGGGGCTACAGCTTCTCAGCTCTCTCGGGACCTGTATGCAGCCACAAGAACCCGTGTAACAAGGGTGACTGGTTCCAAACACTGAATGAGAGAGGGTTGTTGCCAGAAGACCGGCTATTTGCGTCCCGCTCACGTCTATGGGCAGTAGAGTCGGATTAGCATGGTGCAGGCAACATAGTGATTGGAGTACGGAGCAATGGGCGACCGTTCTGTTCACCGACGAGTCCCGTTTTAGCCTAAGCACCGATTCTCGCCGTACTTTCATATGGAGAAAGCCAGGGACCCGCTACCTATCCTCCAATGTCCGCGAAATCAACCATTATGGAGGTGGCGGTGTAATGGTCTGGGCAGGCATCATGTTGGATGGCCGCACACCTCTCCACGTCTTTGACAGAGGCTCTGTGACTGGTGTGAGGTATAGGAATGAGGTCTTGGAGCCTTATGTTCGCCTTTTCGGGGTGCGGTGGGCCCCGAGTTCATCTTACAGAACGATAACGCGAGGCCACATAGAGTTCTTCTGGTCGGCGAATTTCTCGAGAGTGAGGATATTTGCCGGATGGATTGGTCAGCCAGGTCTCCAGACCTCAACCCTATAGAGCATGTCTGGGAAGTTCTGGGGAGGGCAATTGCAACTCGCAGCACCCTCCGAGAACCATCCAAGAACTGAAAACACGTTGCTGAATGAGTGCGACCAGTTGCCACGGGCACTGATAAACTGCCATATTTCCAGTATGACATCACGCTGCGAGAGCTGTATGGCTGTAAGAGGGGATCATACCCCCTATTAACCCATTTCTTTTGTGTCTTCTTCAACCGCTGTTTCAGACCTTCAGACTCCCATGAGTGTTACACACGAACATGCGTGTCTATTATAACTGTTGAATGTTTATTTTGTTTGTATTATATAAATCTATGTTCACACCAAATTTTATTAAAATTTGTCGAGTAGCTCTGGAGATCGTAGATCAAATATGAAAATTCTCTTAATTTCTTTCACCAGTGTATTAGCCAGAAAGTTTTAAAAAAAAGGTAACTCATAGATATCAAAGTAGTTTCCAAAGGAAAAAAGGAAACATTAATTTGGACTGGACAGCTGTCTTTATTCCGGTACAATTTTCAAGTCGTGAAACCTTATTCTTCAAAGGGCAGCATGATAAAATGATATATTGGTTTAACAAGAGTTTGCAGATGATGATTCAATATTCTGACTATTGTAGTAACTGATGGAAAAATAAAGGAAGCAAAATATCAAGACATGTTGGGTGAACTTTGATGCCTGATGCTCCAGTTGTTCAAAACAGGAAAGTAGAACATCAGAGAGATAATGAGAGTATTCACTATTTCCTGTCTATAAGCACAGTTTGAAGTCAACGAGATAACTATTCCTTTCATGGCGTTTTTTCTGTGCTGAACACAGAAAGCCCTGAGTGGAACACAGAAAGAAATCTTTGGTGTATGATATTGTAGTTTGCTTACAAGGATAGTTGTCTGCATCGAACGAGAAAAAGCCCACATCCTGCCATCAAGATTGCGTTGAAAAATTCAAAGTCCAAATTTTAACTCAACTTACATTATTGGTCATAAAAACAGTTCATAAAGATGATTGAAAAATATGCGGTTTTGTAGGATACTGACTTTAAAGTTGTTCAACATTGTATTTATTCCCAAGATAAAAATCTAAATAAATATATTATTAAAGTTTTATTATATTAATTATATTTTATGTTATTTCGGAAATTATACATTTGTATTGTTTCAAACAGAAAGGTTTGATTTCTTAGCTTTTGTTTATGTTATATATACTTTTCTGAGACTTGATTTTTATCTTGGGACTTAAAAACTTTCCAGAGCCTTATATGCATTTTCACTTACTCTCATTTGCAATATATAATATCTTTGTGTTCTTACTTGTTGAGGAAAATTTTAACTTTCATTACCTCATTCACTAAAATGGAATTCTGATGCATTTAAGACAGTATGTAAGTCTTACATATAACTTAAAGCTGTTTTTAGAATAAAATCAAAGTATATGAAGTTACTTTTATTGAGTAGTTATAAAAAAGGTTTACTAAATGGAGAAGAAAATGGAGGTAACACACAGTTTGGATTTATACAAAATATGTAATTTGTATGGCAACGGTAACAATAAACCATAACTTTACCGAGGATATAAGATACCGAGAAACAATTTTAAAACTTTTTATTTTGTTCCAAAACATATTGGAACATATGTGTGATATTTATTGACAATGGTGCTATTTTGATGCACCATTGTCAATAAATATCACACTATTTGTTCTATGATGTCTATTGTTCCGTTCTTACGGTTCGTAATAAATTGAATGGACACAGAATTGATGGTGGCTTGAAAACATTTATTTTACCAAAAGGAACATTTCACAGTGCTGGAGCTTTCCACAAAAATACTCGAACAACCCTACACAGTACTGCATAGTACAATCAGTAGTTATATTTCAAACTATCAAAAACGCTAAAACAAAGCAATGTAAAGCACATCTAAAGAGCGAAATTAACACGGAGAGAACTCGATTCTCCGCACTTACGCCGAGCTAAACAATACTACTCCGAAAGTGATGCTCTCCACGGTCTTATATAGTTTTCTCCCACCAGCCGACAAATTTCTAATACCATTCACTTCTCGAAATTACTGGAAGGCATATGAGGGTCGTATACTGTTACAGCATCAATTACAGTTATTCAGTTTTAATACCGACAACAATTATACAGGGACCGGTCCAAAATGCCACAAAATGGTCTCAAAGTGACGCGACTTTCGCCGATTTTTTTGCTAATTTTCAGATATTTTGGTTTTAAAAAAATGCTACAATTTCATATATAATTTCACTAACATTATTTATATATGTGTAAAATTCGTAAGATTACCTCCTTCCAAAGGACTGCACGACCTGGGCAGTATGATCCCTAGACAAGAAGCCATACTCATAAATAAGGAAAATCAATGCAATACTAAAAGAATAATTTCAATAAATGACATAAAACAAATCAAATGCTAAACCAATAAGTAAATGCAAAAAATTACAAATTTATATACAAATAGGACCATGGGTCTTAGTATACTATTTCCATTATATACAATATGTGGA